GGGGGGGGGGGGGGGGAGACTGTTGTCATGTGTTGGCGAATGAGGCGTCACCTCAACTGCCTAGTTGTAACCGCATTCAACCAATGGTATCACTACACCCCATTCTCGCTGCTCAAGGGGGGTGGGAGAAAACCCCTCGCCAATCGTGGCAGAACCAGCGACTTCGGGTGATCATTTGGCATGATGGGACAAAAAAAAATCACGCTTTCCCAATGGTTCAAGTGGGAAAAGACGAGAGATGGGAAAAATGAGATATGATATAAGTCTAAGATCACCTCTCATGAGTTATTATTCTCACGTATTTATTGACTTGTGCTGCTATAATTTGAGACAAATAACTGAGTCAATGTAGGGGTATGAGATACAGGTATGATCCCATCATTGAATTCTTTAGTGATTTTATAAAGATTCTCATATTATACATGTCTTTATTATTCAACTGCTCTGAGAAAAGGAGTAAAAAAAATAAAATGAAAATAAAAACAGAATGGCCGTGGGTGCAATTCAAATTTGTCCCAAGGCACCAGTGAAATTGCACCTTTAATCAAGATTTCTACCAATTTGTGAGCGCCGACGGTGCGAAGACAAAGCCCATTGTTGCCGCAACTGGTTGGGGTGGAGGTTTCAAGTGTTTCACCGGAACGAGTAGGAGAGACTCGATGCGCCTTCTATATTTTCACACACAGTCATGTATATTGTACCTATACTCAACTATCAACAACTCAACATATCATTTTTATTTATTTTCATTTGATCAGATGTAAACTTTTACAAGAATACACCGGAATTTTGACAAAAAAAAAATTAAATTAATGTCCGGCAGGCAGACGCTTAGAAGAATCTTTCAAGCCACTCATACTTGGAATGTTTGTGTTTGCTAATTGTGAATTGTCTACTTCTTGGCCAAGCGCACTGAGTTGCCCCCAGTATATATTCTCCTCGTATATACACTCTTAATGCACACATTCACGGAGACCAAATGGTCTCTGAAGACTAGGATTGAGAGTACTTCTGCTAGCATACAAAGAATCATATATATACAACATGGAATGCTCAGACCTCTGTGCAAAATTCAAGTACAATTTCCATACGCGCATATCAAACTTATTAACTCAACAATATAAATTTATAATAATAGAGAAATATGAATTTTCATCATTACTCCCTTTATCTGGGATTGATGGGATGGTATGCAACTTTTCTTCAAATTGAAATTTTTCTACAAAAAAAAAACCCATCATTTAACAAACAAATTGCGTATTCATGAACGTGAACTCATTTTTATATCTGTCCATCGGTTGAGACTCCATCATACCCCCACACCGCTTTATATCTGATCTTTTAATTGGTTTTCGGACGTCATCGTTATTCCGATAAGTGCCCTACCTTAGTGACCCTCGCGGTATTCCCAAATTATCGACACTCTCGGACTCGCGGTCTATCTTATCCATACTCATGAGCTATCAAAATTATCGACACTCTCGGGCTTGCAACCTGTTTTACTTACAGGTACAAGATCTGACCATGTTGAAGGTTTTGGGCAGGCGCTGCCAATCTCCCCTATAATTACAAAATAACAATAATAATAATAGTAATAAGGAAAGGATAGAATAAGATATAATGGACTATATTGTGGGTGGTGAGTTCAGTCTGTTATAAACTCGTCTGCAGAAACTCTTGTGATGTTTTAGTTGATAATGGACGTACTTAAATTGAATAATTTTTCTTTACGGCTACTGAAGCATGATATAATCGTTATTTTATTATTTTCAACCGAACCAGCAACTATTTGGATTCGAATGACATAACCTAACCGATAAAACAAACATTAATGATTTGTATTTTAGTGACAACGAGTCAACTTTTTCTGTTTCAGATGGTATTATTGGTCACTAATTTGAAGTAAGTTTGCTTATCTGGAAGACCGAAAATTTGAAATGGCAGACGGTTTAATTCCACACATTTTGATAGGGAGTATTTTCTACATTTTTGGCTTGAAATGGTGCTGTGAATATGCAAAATTTTGGGATACTCCCAAAAGATCTGAGGGAATGAGCTCCACAAAATCTCGCATATTAATGGGGAAATGTGAAAAACTACTGATGAATAATCCAATCGAAGGTAGCCTAAAACTCATAGCTACAGCTATCGGCTTAATTGGTACAATGGTGGAAGGTCTTCCAGATACCGTAATTGTTTCTCCGAAAGTTGTCCATGCAACTATCTATTTATTTTTCGCATTATCAGGCCTCATTGATGTCTTGACATTTTATTTTCCTCGTAACGTCACCAAGGGACTTGCTAATTTAGCACTAGCACAGAGTTTTTTCGTTGAAGGATTTCTTTTCGTTTGGGCCAGTCCAGACCGGAGCATTACCAATGGCATTGCAGCAGCAATTGTCTGGACAACTGCAATTACTATTGGTGCTGAATTAATTTGGCCAGATCTTAAACTTTTGAGAGCAACTACTACACTGTTGCATGGAGGATGGATAGCTCACATGGTGCGACTATTTCGCAGTGAAACATTAGCAACTGAAAGAATTGCTTTAGCATTCTCATGGCATATCGCTGCTGCATTTGCCGTTACGTTAATTGTTGTTGCCACTGCGAGGAGCTGCGCCCCTAATATAAACATCCATGATGAACCACCTGATGTCCCAATTTATGATTACTGCAATGAACCACATGATATGACATGATAATTTTTGTCTCATTGTCTGTTTTCCATCAACTTACAACTTTCCTTGACTGATTTGTCTTTAAAAAAGGAAGAAAAAAATTTTGTTTTTTCCTTAATCATTCAAGTTCGCAGTGGTATTATTCTCATCGCCTTTCCTGTACCTCATTTAGAGATACAATGAGGCCTATTACATATTTAATCATTTGTAATTTCTTAAGCAATAAATTTGATTATTAAATTTTTGTTGGATTTCGCTTTTAAATTGCCACTATTAGAATTTTATGTATAAACAATGTTATATCATCCTCAAACATCGACAATCTCTATTTTTTTTATAATCGTCATCATGAGAATAAAGCCTAAAGTTTCCTGTTGATAATGCACACGAATAGGACAACGACGGAGCCAAAGAGGATTGTCTAAAGTAGAGGCTCAGTTCTGGGGGTCTGAGTGACCCCAGCGGCATCGTAGTACTGCACCCCAAGAGAGGGAGGGCGCAACACGCAATGGTGGGGTGTTTTTTTTTATTAACCAAGTTTTTATTGCAATGCTGGGGTGTCCATCAAGTCGACGGGATGAATTTTTATTTCTGCTGTACGAATGCTTTTTGTTTTTCATTTGTTTAACTGAAATTTAGCCGACTGTAGCACGTACGGAAGGGGTAAACCACATCTTGTGGAATTTCAATGAAAAAAATTATTCAATGTATTGAATATATACCACTAATGAATTTTTAATATTAAATTAGCACGTTGTCCTAGCGGTAACGTGCTCGACTGGCACGCCGGCGGCCCGGGTTCAATCCCGGCATCATTCATTTTTTTTTTTTAAATAATTCCAATTTTTTTTTTTTTATTAATGGCAAATCAATCGAAATATTGTTTAAAAACTGAATATTTGATAATCGAGGAGATATGCAATGAAATTGAACAATTTGACATTTTTTAAAACCAAAGTTTTTCAATATATATACGCCTAATGAAATTATATTATTGTAATAGCGCGTTGTCCTAGAGGTAACGTGCTTGCCTACCACGCCAACGGCCCGGGTTCGATTCCGGTATCATTCAATTTTTTTTTTTTCATAATAATTCCAATTTTTTTTTGTTAATGGCAAATCAATTGAATTATTGTTTAAAAACTGAATACCTACTCGATTGTCATGTTCCCCTGATACTTTTTCAAAAATTTCGAATTTTTCACTATCAGTGAAAATTTTAGTGAATAGCTCCTCGATTGTCATGTTACCCTGATACTTTTTCAAAAATTTCGAATTTTTCCACTTTCAGTGAAAATTTCAGTGAATAGCTCCTCGATTGTCATGTTCTCCTGATACTTTTACAAAAATTTCGAATTTTTCACTTTCAGTGAAAATTTCAGTGAAGAGCTCCTCGATTGTCATGTTCCCCTGATACTTTTACAAAAATTTCGAATTTTTCACATTCAGTGAAAATTTCA